CCTCTTTAATGTAAATGTAAGCAAGATGACTGAATGATCAAAAGCAATGTCAAACTGGCCAAAACACTCAATTTCAGTGGGGGTTGAATAATTTTGGCCACAACTGTAGGTGCAGATCAGGAGACATACTTGGCCACTGAAACACCTTCATCCTGTTCTTCAGAAATACAACAGTGGCCTTAGATGTGTGTTTTGGATAATTTTGGATCATTGTCATGTTGGAAAAGTGCACAACAACAAAGTGCAGGGAGTGATCTTTTCTTTCAATATATAGTACAGGGGGTCTCCAAACTTTCTAAACAAAATGGCCAGTTTATCGTCCTTCAGACTTTAGGGGGCAAGACTGTGCCCAGTGGGAGTGAATGCCCCATCTTTTGTTCCCCATCGTTGGTGTCAGCTGGAGGAATAGTGCCTCCTCATTGGTGTCAGGAGGAAAAGTGCCTGATTGTTGGTGTCAACAGGAATGATAGTGCACTATGGTTGATGTCGCGGCAGGAATTTTGCCCCATCGTTGATGTTAGTGGGAGGAAAAATGCCTCAAGGACCAGATATAGGCAAGCAAAGGGCCACATCCGGCCCCCGGGCTGCAGTTTGGAGACCACTGTAGTAAATCTGTGAATTCATGATTCGATCAATGAAATGCAGCTCCCTGGCACCAGGAACACTCTTGCAGCCCCACAGGAGACAACTGCCACCACCATGTTTCACTGTAGGCACCATGCATTTTTCTTTGTACTCCTCACCTTTGCAATGCCATACAGGTTTGAAGCCATCAGTTCCAAAAACATTTATCTTGGTCTCATCACTCCAGATGACAAGAGTTTTCAGCATGTGCCCTGAGAAATTCTAGGCAGGCTTTATTGTTCATGGGCTTTAGGAGAGGCTTCCTTCGTGGACAACACCCATGCATACCATTCCTCTGCAGTGTACATAGTATTGTGTCACAGGAATTATCCCAGTTTGGCTTTCTACTTCTTTAGCTAACTGCAGTGAACTTGCATGGCGATTTTCTTCAACCCTTCTCATCATAAGACACTCCTGTCGGTGTTAAAGCAGAGTTCCAGTCAGTTTTGTGTTTATTAAAAGTCAGCAGCTACAAAAACTGTCCCAGGGTCCAGCGATGTGCTCACCCATGCCATCCCTTCTCTGCGCTGCCACAACTGTGGGCACCAGGCTGTGACAGCTTGTGGCTTCACAGTCGGGGGCCCGCTGTGCATTCTGATTGGTCTGCAGTCTTCTGGGACCTGTGAAAGTTCCCAGGAGACTGCGGGGAAAAAGGAGGGGACCAAAATTCCGGCTCCCTTCACCACTGCAAACTGAGATGGAAGTGGGAGTAGGTACCTGTCAAAACCAGGTACCCGCTCCCCTCTCCCCCCCAAAAGGTGCCAAATATGGCAGTGAAGGGGTGGGGGGGGGGAGGAGGCAAAACGCAGCTTCTGCTTTTGAGTGGAACTCCGCTTTAACTTCCATGGACGGCCTGGACGTCTGTCAGATGGTTGCAGTTCCATCTTTGTTAAATTCAATATTCTGACTTATAAGTAAAGCTTTGCTGATCGTCTTGTAGCCTTCACCTTTCTTCTGTAAAGAAATGATTTTCTTTCTCAGGCCTTGCAACGTTTCTGTGCCATTGCTGACAGCATGAAATGGAAGGGGTTTTCTTTGTTAACCACTTCCTGTCCGGACACTTTTATCCCCATCCTGTCCAGGGCAATTTTCAGCTTTCAGCGCTATCACACTTTGAATGACAATTGCGCGGTCATGCAATACTGTACCCATATGAATTTTTTACCATTTTTTTGAGACAGATAAAGCTTTATTTTGGTGGTATTTATTCACCGCTGGGATTTTTTTTTTTTTTTTACTATGTAAATGAAAAAGTCCAAAAATTTTGAAAAAAAGTTTTTTAAATAAAATTTTGCAAATAAATAATATTTCATCCTAAATCTTGGCCAAAATTTATTCCGTTATTTTTTTAGTAAAAAAAAAAATCCAAATTAGTTTATAACCAAAAATTATCATTTTTAAACATTTTTTTTTAGATTTTTATTTTATTTTTTTTATATTTATTATTTTTTATTTTTTTTTTTACATACTGTCACCCTAGCAGTACAGTGTCACCATGGTGACACTGTACTACTTGTGGGGGGTGATGAAGATTTTTTTTTTTTTTTTTTTTTTTTACACTGATTGCTTTTACACCCATATAGGATGTAAAAGCAATCATTTCTCTTTCTCTCTGTCTGCATTCTTGCAGTCATTGAGAAATACTGAGTGAGCTGTGATTGGTCACAGCTTGTCACATGGTACAAGGGTGTTGTGAATAGCCTTGTACCATGTGACCTCTGTGATCATTCACAGATTTCACACATAGTAAGCAAAGATGTCAGAAGTGACATCTTGCTTACTACTTTGCATGTGATCACTGATTCGCCAATCAGTGATCACATGACCGGGACCTCGTACAGAGGTCCCGTCCGACGATCGGTGTTTCACTATGTCCGGAGGACACAGCGGGCACCGGATCGTGGTGGTGCGTGCTGCTAGGGAGCGCGCACAGCTAGAAAAGGCAAGTGCCGTTTAGGAACGGCAACCCGCCCCTGGACTGCCACCGCCCTGCCGTTTATAAACAGCAGGCGGATGGCAAGAGGTTAAGTAACACCCCTTTATAATCACCTGTCTGCTGGAAACCTGTTTAATAATTAGACTCTCCTTTAGTTGATTTCTTGTTAATTAGGATTTTAAAAATTTAGCTTTGCTCCCAAGACTTACATTGGGATGTATTCATTTTTGCAACATGGTCTTGAGTGAATTTGTTAGGAAAAAAAAAAAGACGTGTGTGAACAAATCTTGTTTACAACTAATGGCCAGGATTTGTGGGAGTATTATTTTGTAGTATAGTGTCCCATAGAAAATGATGATTCTGAAAGGAAAGTAAAGGTTTTCTGACAAATCTGTTGGGGTGTACTCATTTATGCTGAGCACTGTATTAATATTTTACATATACCAGGATTGGCGCAGCAGTATTTATATATATTCTTAACTTTCAACATACTTTTTCTAAACAGTATCTGAAGCCAAAGAACCAACATGATAGCCAGGCAACTAGTATTTTTAGAAGGCGGTCATAATTTGCAGCTTCTGAATATATTTTTTAAATTCACTAGGATTTTTAACTATTTGTTGCCCACCCACAGTACATGTACTGCAGCTGAATGGAAGCTACAGGATAGGCGGTACCATTTACATTGCCTAGCACATGTGCACTGGCACGCTGCATGGGATCACGGTGCTTGGTATCCAGCCGCTGTGAGCGGCCAAGGTTTCATGTGATCACTGTGATTATGCATAGCGAACACATGATTGCAATGTAAGCAAATCTATCATGAATGGCTTCCATTCAGGACAAAGTTTTTTACTGTTGTCCTGCTGTGATTGATCCACAGCTATCACATGGTAGCTGGCACCCTGTACCTTGTGATAAGATGTAGCCAATCACAGCATGACAATAGTAAGTAAGCTGTCATGAATGGCTTCCATTCATGACAGTTAAAACTATTGCTTATAACCATGATCATAATAGTGACACGGAACTGATGACAGTATGTAAAAAAAAAAAAAAAAAAAAAAAAAATCTGAATAAAAAATAATGTCATCAGATATTATTCCTGATCACTGCCACACCAGTCGTATGAAGACACTGTACTGCACTGATGACAGTATGCAAACAATTTGTGAAAAAAAATAAAAAATAATTTCTTCATATTCGAAAAAAAAAAAGAAAAAAAAAAAAAAACAAAAACAAACCAGCTTCAAAAAAAACTCGCCATGCCTCTTACTAAATACTTTGGACTGACTACTTTCCAAAAAGGGGTCATTTGGTGGATATTTGTACTGTCCTGGCATTTTATGGCCTCAAGAAATGAGACAGGCTGTCAGTACATCAAAACTGATCAATTTTCAAATGTACTGTATACCATAGTTTGTGTACTTTATTAATTTTCACAAAGACTAAATAATATACACTATTTGGTTTATTCTTCTAACAACGAAATGTGGCAGACTAGATTTTGGCCTAAATTTATGAAGAGAGAGATTGTTTACAAAAATGTTTTAACAGTAATCAGAGAAAAACACTTTTTTTTTTTTTAATTTTCTACATTTTGTCATTTATATAGCAACAAACACCCCCCGTGGTGATAAATACCATCAAAAGAAAAATGGTAAAAATGTATTTGTGTAGTGTTGCATAACCAAGCAATAGCCAGTTAAAGGATAAGTTCACTCCTTGTAACACGTTACACCCCGTATTTAGGCCCCGCAGCCCCAGCACGCCCTCGATTCCCCGTTGTGATAGCAAGCTTCTCCCTGCACCCGCTGCCACAAAAAAAAAAAACCCACACATCGATGTTCAGGGCTCTGCCAACCCGGCTGCGTCATTCCTTCAAAACCTTCTGTCAACTGAACGTTTTGCGGTTGCTTTCGTGGCTGTTGGCTGGTAGTTCTTAATTAACTACCAGGGCGCTGATGAGCTTCTTGTCATTCAGTATGTGACTGTGAGAGGCCCTCTCCCCCAGTGCGCACTTTCCCATCAACTTTTCATTCAGTAACTGCCTGCCCATACGCAGACTGACACAATGACAGTCTGCAAGAGCCTCACATTGCAATGCTTTGCAGACTCCTAGTTGACAAATAAATAAATAAATGCACTATTTTTTTAACCTGCAAAAAGATGTGCATTCGTTTATACAGCATACAAAGGTGAACTTATCCTTTCAAAGTAGCACAGTGCTGAACAGCAAAAAAAAGTCCCCCTGGTCATTAAGGGGGTAAAACCTTCGGAAGGTCATGTGGTTAAAACAACTAGGAACAAGTCATACACATTCAGTTATCTCATAAAATGAAGGGGTTTCCTCTGCTTTGGTTCAGAAACAGATGAATCATTAAAGCATATCTTAAAGCAAAAAATAAAATAAAAAAAGTACCTGATTGGCGGGTTGATTTCATTTTGGAAATTTTTGTGTCATTTTATCAGTCTTCTGTCTCTTCTGATGCGGGACAAATGAATGTGAAACTCCAGCATCTGAACTGCTATTCATTATCTGCTGTTCAGTTTCAATGCTTCTTCTCTTATTTGAGACATTTAGTGTGTTGCTGCAAGAAGAACTGACAGATATCTCTGAAGAAGGGATCCACTTATGATTTTGTTCATAATCATTAGTTTTGGTAGTAAAATCACTTAGGACCAATGTTGTATGACCAAAAGCAGTTTTTCTGTTTATCTTCATTTCAGACAAAGATTTTCCAAAATTATTACATGGAAACTTAATCAAGTCTGTGTCACATCTAACACTTTCGTTATTTGCAGTGCCTAAAACTTAAAACAGAAAAGTAATGTTAGCATTTTGTTTTAAAACAAGAGGTTTATTATAGCATGTGAGCACACAATATTGTGAATGTGTATTCTAGTCTCTTAAGGTGTAATTTTACAACGTATATTTTTTAGAACATTTCATTCTCCTAATGCAATTTCATTTGTTTTTTACATATTGCTTCTGTTGAGATTTAGAGATTACCACCTTGTAGGTACACATACATACAGACTTTGGGGTTAATGTAATAAAGGCAAAGACTGTGCACTCTGCAAGGGCAGTTGCTCCAGAGCTTAGTAAATGCGGGGAAGATCTGCTGACTTCCATCATCCAATCATGTGCAAAAAAAAAAAAACCACAGGATTTTTTTTATGCCCTGTAAAACCCCTCTGAGTTGACGGACACAGCTGCTTTTTCATCCATGACCAAACAGGATTTTATAGCCCCGCCTACAGGAGTAGGACACTAGGCAGAAAAACTCAGCACCTCCCATGGGCAGTCCTCTCTGGGCATAAACCCCCTCTCTGCTATAGGCCTCCACTCAGTCACAAGCAGTGTCATAGGAGAAAACTCCATAGAGGGGTTGGTGCTGTGTTCGTAAATTAACTCAGAGAAAGGGATTTTATGGTAACAAAATAATCCCATATTCTCTTACGATCAGTGATGGACACAGCTGCTTCTTCTTTATCCATGACTAAACATGGATGTCCACAAGAAGTGCCACAATGAGTGGTCGGCAAACCAAACAATGGAGAAGAAACTCAGGGCAACACGCCAACCTCTGAACCACCTCAAAGGATGTCCAAGTCCTAAACAGCCACCTGCAAAACCTTGCGGCCAAAAATCAGCATCAGAAGATGCCAACACTTGGGGTGGGGAAATGGTTTAGGCAGTGCTCTTAAAAAAACAAAAAAACCCCACAGTAGTTGTCAGGGTTCTGTCCACAGCAGAAGTTCTAGGAGACCGGGCACTCCTGCCAGTACCCTGCATGGCCACAGAAGTGCACGTTGGCAAAGATCCATGCACATTGGCGCGCAGACGTGAGCCGGAACACGCATGCGCACAGTTGCGCACGCATTGGCTCAGTTTTGCGCCAGATGGCCTTTATAAGGAGGCTCATCACTCCCTCAAGTTGCTGGTTGATCTCTGGCTCCCCAGTACCATTGTCTGTGTTCCTTTGCTATAGTGATTTCCTATTACCGACCTGGCTTGCTCTTGGACCTGTCTTCTCTGCCTGACCTGACCCTGGTTTGGCTAATGGATATTCTTTCCCGCTCCTCTGTGTATGACCCCGGCTATTCTACTGACTACATCCGCTCCAATCTCCTCCTGACACTTGACCTTGGCTTTGAACTGACTATCCTGTGGTCCTCTGCTACCCTGAGGTCTTGCATACCTCTCACAGGCGCCACCTGTCTGCAGGCTCCATTCCAGTGCATAAGCTGTGCTCCTGGGTGTACCTCTGACCAGCACTCCTACAGGCGACCTGTGCAACTTTGGGCCCGATTCCTGCTGTCCCATATCCAGGGGAGTCTGGAACTTAGCCGCAAGGGAAGCCCTCTCTCCATTGGCCTCCATCACCAGGTACGTAATAGTAGTCTTCTCAACCCCCCTTTACATCACCCCCAACTATTGTGTCCTGTACCCCCAATGCAGTGTCTTCTGCTCGCTTCACATCACCCACCCTCCCCCACACACACACACTGTAGTGTCCTCTGCTGTAGTTTCACTATGCTGCCTCCGCTTCAGGTAACATGAGAGCGGCCGAGGCAAAGCCGCGGTTACAATTGACCTACTAATCGACAGCTTGCCGACGCCAGCTATAGAGCTTAGTAAACTTGTGCACCGATGACTAGGTCGCTGCCTTGCAAACTTGAGAAACAGACGCCTGATGTTGGAACGCCCAGGAAGTGCTAACCGCCCTGATGCAGTGCGCCATAACGGTGAAGAGAGGTTCCCATCCCCTGATGGCATACGCCTGCACAAATGTCTGCTAAATCCAGGAAATAGTGGCAGAAGAGGCCACCATGCCTTTTCTCTTACTGTCAGTGAGCACAAACAGCGAATCAGAACTCCAGAAGACAGCAGTCACAGAGAGATACATGCAAATAAGCGCAAACCACGTCCAAGGAGCGCAAAGCCACCTCCTTAGAGTGCGACAGTGGAGGACACAAGGAGAGAAGGACAATGTCTTCATGCAAATGGAAATCCAACACTTCCTTCTGAAGAAAAAAAGGAGATGGCCGAAGCACCACCTTGTCCTTCTGCAAAATCATTTTAAGGTGGCTTAGGATACAGCTGCCAATTTTGACACCCGTCACGTCAAAGTGATCGTGACTAGGAAGGCAATCTTCTGTTAGAGCAGAAGTAAGAGAACATCTGGAATACTCTCGAAAGGAGGCTTCTGAAGAGCCTACAATACCAAATTCAAGTCCCACAGCGGCAGCGGGGAGTGCACAAGGGGCACCACATGACAAACCCCCTGGATAAATGGGTGAACCAAGGAATGAGTGGCCAAGGGACGCTGTAAGAAAACAGCCAGAGCAGAAACTTGACCCTTAATTGTATTCAAACCAAGCTTCAGATCCACACCATTGAAGGAAGGCCAAAGTGTTGCATCAAACGATATAAGCTTTCCAGATGCAATGATAAATCTCCCGGGAAGTAAACTTACGAGCCTTTAAAATAGTCTGAATCACCGAGCAAGACAACCCCATCCTTCAAAACCTGGCTTTCAATATCCATGCTGTCAAAGCCAGCAACGGTAAAGCAGGGTGAAAGAACTGGAGGCCTATAACAGAGAGGGGGTTTTATGTCTAGAAAGGACTGTGCCAAGTGTATTTTTCTGCCTAGTTTCCTGCTCCTGTAGGTGGGGAAAAAAAACTCAGTTTGGTTATGGATACAGAAAAAGCAGTTGTGTCTGTCAATGAACGTAAGAGAAATGCGTTTTTTTTTTTTCCTTGAATGTGATTGGGTATTCTTTGCAAAAGTGAAGCTTCACCTCATTTACAAAGCTCTGGAGCAAATGCCCTTGAAAACAGCACAGTCTATTTGCCTTTAGTAAACCAACTTCCCTGTGTCATTCCCATGAGGAACAATCAGAAACTACAATGATTATTATTTAAATATGTTTTAGTCCCTGAATTGTTTGTTTGATCACTACTCCATACAGCAATATACCAGCCTTTAAAATGGTAATAAAGATCAAAATTAATTTTGAGTCTGTTTAATGTCCTGAAGGTTGGCACTATTAAATGCAATGAGTTTTTTGCACATACATAGTCAGGTCAAAATTCCTTGAATCATCTGACCTCTATACATAATCTGCACCTTATAGCTAAAATCTTTTCCCAAAGTTACCTTTATTCTGACCACTAAAATATCTCTTCACAAACACTATGATTATCCAAGTGTGCACATATACACCAATTGAAGCACTGAGCAGTCACCTTTAATAAATGCTGAAAGTGGAACTCCAGCCAAACTGTTAAATACATACAATATATGTGTATTGTGTTACTTGTCAAAGACTTTGTAATTTTGACCAGACATCCGTGTAATACACAAATCTCTATTTAGACTACGCTCTTACTTCTTGGATCTGATATACAGCTTCCTACATCAGCTTCCTGCTCAGAGGTGATGATGATGATCATTCACTATCCTTTTAGAAGACTGACAGCAGAGATGAGATAAGAACCTGAACTGCTGGACCAGAAAGACAAATAGCTTAATTAGGAAGTATGTTGGCCACCTAACAGGCTTGACTCACTTCACAGAACTACAAATCCTTAAGTCAGGGTAATATATCAGTGAACATAAGTCTTTTCACCTGTATATGTAGCCACGTTCCTGGAATTTTACTTTGACTAAAACAAAGACACTGTAGACCCCCCACCCCCCTCGCCCCCATTTCCTTAGTAAATGGAGCCCGCACTATCAATATACCTAATAGTTTAAAAAAGAAAAAAAAATCTTGCAAGTCAGAGTTCGCTACCCAATAATCAGTGGATGGGTATTTATTACTATATAAAAAAGGTGATGCAGAAAACCTTTAATCACAAAATCTCAGTTTTTCCTACCCAAGCACTTTCAACATCTCACTGGATATTCAGGAGCACTCAGGGTCAAATTAACCACTTGTCTACTGGGCACTTATACCCCCTTCCTGCCAGGCCAATTTTCAGCTTTCAGCGCTGTCGCACTTTGAATGACAACTGCGCGGTCATACAACACTGTACCCATATGACATTTTTAGCATTTTTTTTCCACACAAATAAGAGTTTTTTTATGGTATTTAATCACTGCTGGGTGTTTTATTTTTTGCGCGATAAACAAAAAAAGAGCAAAACATTTGAAAAAAGTTTTTCTTTTGCTTCTAATATAAAATTTTGCAAATAGGTAGTATTTCTCCTTCACTAATGTGCATTGATGAGGCTGCACTGATGGGCACTGATGAGCTGGCACTGATTATGCTGCACTGATATGCAGCAATGATGGGCACTGATAGGTAGCGCTGGTGGGGGGCACTGCTGGGCACAGGTGGGTGGCAGTGCTTGGCACTTGTGGGTGGCACTGCTGGGTACAGGTGGGTGGCACTTCTGGGCACTGATGATCAGGGCACTGATCATCAGTGCTGATCTGTTTTTCTGACAATTGCCGGTTATCAGCAGTATTTTCCTCATGCTGTGACAGTGTGAGGAAAGTGCAGCCGAAAACCGTTAACTGCATTTACCTGGTGATCTGCTGTGTCATTGGACACAGCAATCACGTGGTAAAAGGCCGCTGTGATTGGCCTTTTTACCACATCGTGTGATCAGCTGTGTTCTGTAGAACACAGCAATCACGGAGATCGCCGGGTGCGTGTCGCGGGGGGGCGCGCGGGAGGGTGCATTCTGGGAGGAGGTCATATGACGCCCTCCCAGAACTGGACAACCACGCTGTAGCCATCATTTAGCTATAGCCGGTTGTCAAGTGGTTAAAGTAGTTGTAAAGTAAAGTGTATCCCTCTATAGTGTGTACTTGCCTCAATCCAAGGCACGAAGTGTTTGTTATTTCTGTCTACTGGTTGGCGTCCCTCTGCTAAGCGCATGAATCACCTTCTGAAAAGTTTTCGGGACAAAGCCAAGAGAAAAACAAAAAGGTGACAGGGAAGGAGCTCCAGCGCACAGACTGTGTTTGTCAGCCTCAACTCTGTTCCTATTCTGTGAAGGGTGGCGTGTCCCCTTCTGTTGTTATTTCTCCCTCCAATCAGCTCTCAAGCTGAGACAAGCTTTATACATTCTGGACTTTTGAGCAGCTGTAGAGAAGAAAAGACTGCAGATAGACAGGTATAAGACTTATGTAGGAGGATTTGTTTCATCTCTGTGTGTCATCTTCACAGGGTTTACATCCACTTTAATCGTTTTTTGCCTGTAAAATTATTATAGCAATAAATGATCAGCTTATTGTGATACAGTAGGTTTCTGTCTAACCGCAACAGCAGTGTAAAACTGGGCTCCGAGCATCAATGTATTATATATGCTGTATACATTGCATATTCTGCAATAGACAATACCTTTTGGTTTAGGAGATAGACACGCATCACATTTCTCATCTGAAGGCTTGTTTATGAGTGTGCAGATTTGGCATGCCCAATGTTCTTCATCTCTCCTGGCCACTTGGTCTTGTGATTCTTGTCTACATGCCCATCCAATAAGACTGTTTCGTTTGGGAAGTTTACTATATAGTAAGCCACAGATAAAATGTATAGTCTGTGAGTGGTTTACATTACTGCACAACAGTAAATTGTCCCCTCCCGCCATAATTCCCTAGGCAAGAATGAGTTTTATTTCACTCCAGCAGCCTCCTGATATATCCTTGTCACATATACCAGAAGGCTTCAGTTTAAAGAGAGTAACTGGAGGAAGTAGATCCAGCAGCACACCATCAAAGGTCTGCTACAAAAGACAGCTTTCTTCTGATATCAGAGTGTAAGATGGTGACATGGAACCCAGGACAATGCTGCATTCACTGGGTGGCTAATTTGGGATAAAAAGGTAAGAACATACAGAAGGAAAAGAAAAAAAAAAAAAAAAAAGGGAGGACCCAAACCTATTCAAACCACAATCAAGAATATGTTGGTTTTGAAAAGGTAAAAAGTAACCTTCATAAACCCTAGAATTTTATATAGTTACCCTCTTTGCAGAAAATCTGTGAATAAAAATCGATTGCTTTACATTTCCCCCTCAATTCACCAGCTTGCTCGGACATTCCTGAGGTAAAGGCTAAGGGTAGCTTGCCTGACAGGCCATATGTTATTTTTAGGAATCACCTGGGTCTCTACATCCCTGTTTCTTTATATATGCTTACAATAGTAAGGTGAAAAGTTACAGGGGCGGAGCAGAGGTTATGAATGAAAGTCCAGATATTGCCACTGCCAATCATGATTAAAATAACTTTTCTAAGCATTCAGTATACATGACAATGATACCTTACGCCGAATAACTAGAAAGTTTCCCTGCAATGCAGCTGGAATCAGAATTTAATGACTTAAGGTTAGAGGATGTCTAAAGCCAAGGATACAATTTTATTATACTGAAGCTCACCAGTCCTCAGATGTGGTGGCTGCATTAATATTTTATTTTCAGGCTAAAGATATTTTCTGCAAGTACAGAAAAATACCTGTTGATCCTGTCCAAATACCAGTGTCCTTGTAACTTCATGTGCATTAAATTGATGTATTAAACAATGTTAGCAGCTTTCCCCACTATCTTCTTTCAGAACACTTCCTTCCTATGTAATTAAGATGTGGAAGTGTTTGTTGCCGAAATCTGGATAGCAGCTTTGGGTGAAAATGCTGCATCTCCAAAGATATAAGGATAGTGAGTGCTGTCATACTGTAACAGGAAGAGTGTCGTCAGCAGGGTCACTTGATGAGAAAAGGAAAGGAAAAAAGCCTGAAAAATAAAACATCTAAAGACTGATACGTTGAAATATATTCACGTTGAACTCCAGGCAAGTACAAATCATGAAAGGAATTGTAACTGGAAAGGTTTTTGTAGTTTTAACTAGGTATTAGTGTAGTTATAGAACCTGTGTCATGTGTTTACCTTACCTTGTAATGACGGACTCACATGTTTGTAGGTGCAGTTTGTATTATCATGGTTAATTAATTCTTCTGCATCCATGTATTAATTCACCTACAGTGGGAAAAATAATTATTTGTTCCCTGCAGATTTTGTGAGTTTGCAAAGGTCTATAATTTTGATCATAGGTGTATTTTAAATTATATAGACGAAATATCAACCAAAAGTTCAGTGAGTAAAATAAGTATTTGATCCCCTCCCAACCAACAATAATTCTGGCTCCCACAGACTGGCTATGTGCTCATGTGGTACACAGATTAGTCCTCTCAATTTAAATAGGTGCTCCTAAGGACAACTCTTTATATGTATAAAAAAAAAAAAAAGACACCTGCTCACAGAATCTCTTTCTTCCATTCAAATGCCTATTCCATCATTAGCAAGACCAAAGAGCTTTCAAAGGACATCAGGGACAAGATTGTAGACCTGAACAAGGTTGGAATTGGCTACAAGACCATCAGCAAGAAGCTTGGTGAGAAGGAGACAACTGTTGGAGTGATTATTCGCAAATGGAAGAAATACATAATCCTCGGATTGGCGCTCCATGCAAGGTTTCGCCTCATGGGGTAAGGATGATCATAAGAAAAAAGGGATCAGCAAAGAGCTACACAGGAGGAGCTTGTGAATGATAAGGCAGTTGGGAACGCAGTCACCAAACAAACCATTAACACAATATGCCGCCATGGATTGAAATCCTGCAGCGCCTGCAAGGTGCCCCTACTCAAGAAGGCACATGTATAGGCCCGTCTGAAGTTTGCTAGTGAACATCTAAATGATTCAGAAAAGGAGAAAGTGCTGTGCT